ATAATTTAATTTTTATTAGTCAGGATCTGCTAAGTTTTTCGGAGCACCTGAGGTCACCCCTGTTTTTGTTGAGGTTCTTATTTCTCAGTCTTTAATTTTTTATTTAGTATTTTGTAGACTGCTTTTTTAGCTCACCTGACGCAAAGGGCCAAGTGAGCTTTTCTCATCACTTGGTGTCCGTCGTTCGTCGTCGTCTGTTAACTTATAAAAAAATCTTCTTCTCTGAAACTGCAGGGACAAATTTAGCCAAACTTGGCCGTAAACATCATTGGGGTATATAGTTTAAAAAATGAGTCCGATGACCCGGCCTGCCAAACAAGATGGCCGACATGGCTAAAAATAGAACATAGGAGTAAAATGCAAGTTTTGTCTATTATTTTGAAAACTGTTATAAATAGAAAAAATCTGATGAGAGCAAAACAAGTTCTACAAATAAGTCTGCATTGTCAAAATCGTCAGCCGAGTTATTGCTTTTTGATGACGATTTTTACCATTTTTTTTGCGTTTTTGCCTTATATCTTATAAATTATAATAGATAGAAAGAAACTTAAATAAGCAAAAATTATCAGCAAGACAAGATCTACAATTAAGACAACATAGAGGAAATCTTCTGACAACTCCTTATTGAAGTTTTTGCTCTTTAAAGACGATTTACACCGTTTTTTGGCGTTTATCCTTACATGATACAAGTTATAATAGATAAATAGATAAATAGTAAATCACAAAAATGACCAGCAAGGCAAGATCTACTAACAAGTTAAATTTTGCCGATATAGGTAGTAGACTGTCACTCTTTATAGGAGTGGTCGCCCCTAAATAAGGATTTATTTTAGCCTCTTTTGTGTTTTGAGCAAAAACTAAAAAAGATAGAGAGAAACTAAACAGACTAAATTATCAGCGAGACAAGATCAATAAAACAGAGATTTTTGTCATGAATTATATTCTCGTCTACAATGTTGGAGAGTGTCCTTTGTTGAATATGCACATAGACCAAGGTGAGCGACACAGGCTCTTTAGAGCCTCTAGTTTGTCTCTTCGTCGTTTTTCGTGGTTTTATTTTGGCCGGTCTCTCTTAAACTTTTGTATTCTAATTGTGGGAAGGCGCGAAAAGTTTAAAAATACCATTATAAACGTAATGATATAAACCCGTGAACAGTTTTAGTACACAAAGCATGTGCTTCAGGAACAAAGGTCCATTTGAGACAAGAAAATATACTTTAAACATAAAAAAGGTTGATTTTCATAGTTGAGTCTTTTGCTTTTACACAACTACGTCAGATTAGGGAAAGATTGAGCGCTTACAAACATGTTTAACCCCACCATATTCTTTTGGTGCCTGTCCCACTTCAGGAGCCTGTAATTTCGTGGTTATAGTCAGTTGCTGTCTGTCATATTTGTTTTCCGTTTATTGTTTTGGCATAAGTTAGACCGTTGGTTTCCTCTATTGAATTGTGTCGCATTTCTATAGCTTGATAATAGATAGAAAGGTTTTCTCGTTGGTTGTTTAAGGCTGAACGGTGATCTTTGGTTGCTTACATCGACGTCATTTGGTCACTGGTGGGGCTGTTTATAGCCGACTATACGATGTGGGTTTTTCTCATTTTTTAAGGCCGTACGGTTGCCTATAATTGCTTTCATCCACTTCTTTTGAACTTTGGTGGATAGTTGTTTCATTGACTATCATACCACATCTCCTTATTTTTATTTAGAGGAAATAAGTCTGTAATTTTTTATGACCACACATACAGGTTATCCAGTGTACATGAGTACATCCGAGTCGTTGCTTACAAGTCTTGTGTCAGAACAAACTTTTTGATTTACTCTAGTGTATAGTGCTTTCTTTTAGGTTTTATGATCTCGTTAATTTAGAACAGATCTATGTTTTAACATTATTATGAAAAGTCTCTTAGTAGACATTAGCGGAAACTGTCATACACCTACGATTAGGATTACAATTACACTTACAGGTAGCATTTAAATCTTGGGTCGTTTCAAAGTGTAAATATAAACCGTCGGTTCATAACAAAGACTAACTCCTATGATGTTTTCCTATAGTTAAACAACGGGATTTCAAAGAAGTATCGACAAAAAATGGTATCTTGGCAGCTTGAGGTGGAATCTGGACAACTCGGACCCAAAGGCAAATCGGACTAAGACAACTCGGACCACTTTTATAGACAGCTCGGACCAGTTTGAAAGACAACTCGGACCAGTTTGAAACACTTGTCAGACCAGCGGCTATTCGTGGTTTTTACGTTTAATATGATTTTTGTTTGTGTTTGTCTATATTTTTTCTTCTCAGTTTCCCCCAACTGACCATCTTAGCTTGCTGTGACAACTTGTCAGTTTGATGCATTTCAATAAGTTCTGTTACTATAAATTAAAAAATAAAACAACAAATATCTTTCAATGCAATAAAAATATAAAGCAGATATATATTCGTCTTTACATATACGGGCACGTGTTGTAATAAGTGATCCTAGAAATCTTTCAAGATGGTGCCTTTTACCGTCAGGCACCAAATGTTAATTTTCGACTATCGTTAGCGACAACTTGGTTCAATTTATATTGTCGTTTGTCAAATTATTCTTATTTATCAGAAGACTCAATTATTTAAACTTTACTGTTATAATTGGAAAACATATACCATGATTCGTCAAAATCAGTTGATTTTTTTTTTATCGTCATGGAGAAATGAACTCTATGTTTCTTTGTGGAGTTTTTGTGGACTTTTGTTCGTATTTTCGTCGTTTTTCTTTTAACCATGGTGGAGTCTTTTTTCTTCGACTTATGGGTTCTAAATGCCCCTTTGCATCGTTTCCTCGTTTAAAAAAACGAAAAGTAACTTAAGCTGCATTAAACATATACATGCATTACATTTTTAAATTAAATCAAGAATTTCAAAGTATAGACCCTCAAGAACTTCGTTTAAATATTCTTAAAGCACTCAGGTTGTCTTTTAACGTACACGGATGTCTGTGAACCCTATTTTAGATTTAATGCAAGTCATACCTTTTTTTTTAAACGAGGATTTTGATTTTTTTTATTTCTTTAGAAATAAAGTAGTTATATGTTATCAAATAAAACTATATTACATCATTCTTGACTAACATGCTCTTTGCTTGTAAAGATATTTGAATGCACACGAATATTAATTGGATCCGAATCTTAATCAAACACATGACACATCATTTATAACGAGATATTTTTATATTTCATTAGGAATGAATTATAAGCTGACATTTAAAAAAAATCGCCAACGCGATTTTTACTACATGTTTCATTAACGTCAAAAACAGTAGAAAAATACCGTTTACATTATTTGGCAATATTCAAACGTTATTGTTAAAAAAAAATCACACACTATTTACGGCGGTTATGGAGCATTTGCGGATACAAAAGTGTAATCGTATAAAAGATGTACGACTTCCAATTACTATATACCGCCCGCTTTTGTAAAGCGAGTGGAACTATTAATACGTAAAAATGAATAAATGATTATTGTATTTCGTGCATTTATTTTATTTTCCCCCGTTATGGACGAATAACACAGATTAACCATGACAGCACTACCTGCCCTGATGCAGACTCCACCAGATGTAAGGTACACATTTCATTCGCCATCTGATTCTAACACTGGTAGTCCTAGCTTGACTACCGACAAACCAATCTTTTACAATCAGGGAAATATTTTAGGCAATGATGTATACTTTTGGAATGGAGAAATGTGTTCACTTGTTTTGCAAGCAAACGATATTCCTTTTACATGTGAAACTCCTGAAACGTTACTTTAAATTGTAGCCGATGTTAATGGTCTCTTCAGACAGAGAACCGATCGGGATCATAAGCTTTGAATTCCCCGGGAAACAGAATTCTTCTTTTATGTTACGGTTACAATCGTATCCGTCTTATCATATGATTTCTGAAATAGTTGACCTTAGTGTTTCGACTACCAAAGATGAAACACATACATGTATACCTATTTCAAACATATCAATATAACCGTCTTATCTATTGGCCTTCTTTCACTGGATGATTGGCAGAACTTACAAGGTGGGTGGCCAAAACTTCCGTTTGCAGTAGGGCTATCGACGGGAAGTTTGTGGCCGATAACGAGTCTTAGGATAGTATTTGCCAGGACACAGACATTGTCACTGCATTCACACTCAAGTTGTAATGTTGAAAGAAGACAGGAAATTTTATGTTGAGTGCGGATTTCTTTGGCATCAGCAATATATGTTGATAAGAAATATAGGACAAGAATTACCTTTCCCGACTGAGCTGTTTTTGCAAGGCGACAAAATATATCCGAACAGATATCCAGTATTGACACATTACATGAGACAAACCCCAGAATATGCAGAGGAAGTGTAGAAAATTAAATAGACATATTACACACTATAGAGTAGAGGTTGAACACGCATTCGGAGAATTAAAAAAAACACACAAAGTTATGGGGACTTTGTGGCGATTCACATCTGTTGTGACCATAAGTTTCTGCATTTGTGACTCGTCGAAAAGACTTATTTACATGATAAAAATATCATTTCATTTTACTATATATATATCTCAATTGGGTTTATTTTCTTATTTTGAGAGGACCCCATGTTTTTCATTAACTGTAATCGTAAGTCTAAGTGTAACACTAGGTAAAGACCTAGTTTCCGCAAATGTCTATTAAGAACGTATCAGTGTATAGTGCTTTCATTATGGTTACGATGACTGATTTCGGAAGAATATGTTTATTATGCAATCAAAAACTGTGTTTTAAAGTTATTATCAAAAGTCTCTTTTAAATAAAACTATTTTTTATACTATTAACCTGTATTTACCTGTATTATTGGCGCAAATGAAATATGGTTTGTGGGGCAAATGAAAGATTACTTTGGCGCTAATGAAATGCCAATTGGCGCAAAAGCAAAGCACCGAGCATATGATATGAAATTACATGTTTGTATAAACACAGCAAGATTATAACGTTTAATGAAGACACCAACAACAACAAAAAAAACCCATTGCATTCAGCTTTATTCAGAAAATGATTTGAAACTGGTATTTTGTATGAACAATTTATATGTCAAAAAAGCGAATTTTTACTGAAAGATGGCGGTAAATTCCAAAGTTAAATCTAATGTTAAAAAAAAATTAAATGGATGTATCAAAAGAACTTTAATCATCTTAGTTTCTTTCACAGATATATCTAGTTGGAACCGTACAAGGTCTGTCATTCCAACCATAATAGCTCTTGTGTCATTTCCTTTCACAGTATTTTGCACAGTTTTCTCCTTTACCACCATCTGGTTCACCAGATTGCCAATTGGTATAAGTACTAGAAGCCCCAGTCTTCCATCACCATCGTCCTTCACTATGACTGTCGGTTAAGCCAACCCATACTTCGCCTGGGTAAGAATAGAATAATAAACAAATGTAAATTTGAAATAAGTTTTGTATCAGTTTACCCCGTTTTTCATTTTCTACATTTCGTTCCTTGTGCTATCTACATAACTGGTGTGAGAGATTTAAAGAGTCTAGAGGACAATAACAATATATAAAAAAATATAAGTTGAAGTAGGACAATAAAACAAACAAGTTAAAGAAGCGAAAGAAGTTAACCATGCAGCACAAGCCACAATAAAACCGGGATATACTTATATACATTTCGACAGAGCAAAATAGGCTTATAATAGAACATCATCCAACCTCTGTGGCGATGCAGCATCAGTATTTCCCTCCCCAAAAATCACATAAAATTTGTAGGTATAGATATAAATACTAAATGAATAAGTGGAGGGTTTCTATTACACTATTTCGGGAAATCGAAAGGAAAAATCGGGGTGCCCGCTCTTCCCTTTTAGGATCAAAACAAAAAGCAAATATGCATGAAAAGGTCATCTTTTAAACTGGAAAATCAAAAAGATTTATTAATTTATGAATAAATAATAAAGTTAATAGATATTTACCTGTCAGATATCTCTATTTATATTTAAAAGAAATTGTCTTACATATTTGCTTCAGGGCTTTATAATCTGCATTGAGTTGGAAAAAATATTCAGTCTGTATGTGCCTGTCCTAATTCAGGAACTATAATCAGCGGTCATATTTGTTTTTCTTTTATTGTTATGTTGTTTTCAGACGTTTCACATTTTGTCATGTCGAGGTTTATAACTCCATGACGATATTGGTTTTACTTATGGTTGTATGCCGTACAGTGAGCTATAGTTGATTCAAACCACGTTATGTGGAGTCTGGTGGTTAGTCGTCTCATTTGGAATCATAACACATCTCCTTTTTTTTTTATAAATCGAATAGAGAACCGAAACGGGGAATGTGTCAAAATGACAACAACCTGAACAAAGACCAGAAAACAGCCCAAGACCACCAATGGGTCTTCAACGCAGCGAGAAAACCCCGCAACCGGATGCGTGTTTCAGCTGGCCCCTGAATAATAATGTATACTAGTTTGAAGCTAAATGGACGCCACACTAAACTCTGAAACATACAAATGAACCAAAAAAAAAAAAAAAAAACATACAAGACTAACATAGGCTAGAGGTTCCTGACTTGGGACAGACTCAAAAAAGCGGCGGGGTTAAACATGTTTTGTCAGATCTCAACCATCACCCTATACCTCTAGCCAATGTGGAATAAACAAATACACAGAAAAACGCACAGTAAATCTAAGTTCAAAAGAAGTTTGACTCCGATGTGAGAATAGTCTGCCAACATAGTCTCTTTTTGAGATATTAACATTACTATTTACACCTTTACATTTACATTTTGTAAGAATAAAAACACCAGGGCAAAAAGAAAAACAAAGACAAATAAAAGGCCACAAAACTATATATTGAGAAACACGAACCAACCAAAATTTAGGGTTAAAGTTTAGATCTCCGGACGGGTAAGCAGTTCCCGCTCCACTAGTACCACCTGTCATGTAATTAGTTACAAGTAAAAATAATTTCATTCGTAGCATTTGGCATGTTAGGTGATATCAAAATGTATAAGGTATTGGATAGGATTGTCACTACGGAACACATGAATAACTTACAACAACAGATCCAGTTGATGAAAGTAAGTATTGTAAGCTTTAGGAATTGAGTCCAAAGCGCATTTAAACAAACCATCAGTCTAGGCATTTACGTTTAACAGTCGGGTAAATGTAATGATAAAAAAATACCTTTCAGCATTGACACCAACCATAAATCTTGATCTCCTTCAACAAAGTATCCGCCTCTATTTGCACATTCAATCTGAAACAAACATCGAATAAGACAAAAGAAAAAATCATTATATGCAAGACGTCAGTGTTATTCGCTTGCCACTAAGGTATATCACCCTTAGGAAATGAAACACATATATAATAGAAATTAACATTATATCTGTTAAATATGCATACGATGATGTCACCACAAGGTATAAATGAAAATAAAATGCCATCTGTTTTTGTCTTACTTTTGATTGTTGTCAGTGGGAAGACGATACTGTGTAGATCATTTTGAAATTGATTGTTACAGCTAAACCCCTTGTCTATATAGTGGAAACAACAATTCAAGCATGCGACTACTTTTTGTATTCTAATTTTCTACTTATTCTGTTTTTATCATAGGCTTATTTCAACCATTATCATCAAAGATCCATTGTATAGTACTTTCAAACACAGCAATACTCTCATCTAAATAGGAATAAAAGAGAGGCGAAAGATACCAAAGGGACATTCAAACTCATTAGTCGAAAAATAAACTGACTATGCCATGGCAAAAAATGAAGACAAACAGCAATATACAAAACACAACATCGAAAACTAAAGACTGAGCAAAGGAACCCCTCCAAAAACCGGGGTTGATCTCAGGTGCTCCGGAAAGGTAAGTTGTCGTAAAACAAAGAGTGAACCTTTTATTTTCAAAGAATGTACGAAACGCAGCAGATAAAGAATATTCACATACCCTTGCGGTATTCCAAGTTGTCAAATCATGGCTGAAATAGTAACAACTTTTTCCATGCAGTATCCAGTCGACGGGACAAACTACAATTAAGATAAAACAATCCATATAACATATCAAGTAATGTATACTAACTACGCAAATTAATTAATGCATGCTGGTCACTAGTACATTAATGATAAGTTTATCCTCGTCAAGTGCCTTTTAGTTCATAACTATCAAAGATATATCTAACAATACGGCATGAAAAATACATTTCTTTCTATGTTTTGCAATAATCTTACGACTTCTTTTTCTCTAACTCTATTTTTCATACATACCTGCTTTTGGAGTACACGTTTTTTTTCTGTCTCTGCAATATATGCATTCATCATTGCTACAACATCATTTGAGGTTGCACTTTGTAAATACAGCTGTTTTACAAACCACGCCTCTTTTGGGGAGAGATATATAATATTCATAGATAACTAATTTTGTTTACGTACTGGTTCCCAGATATGATCTCTATGTTTCATCTCGTAAAGATATACCTTGGGAATGTTACTAGTAAATATACATATGCATAGCGGTCAAATTGAAATCTGTGAAGTCAAGGAAGGGGTAGTACAGACTTTTAGTGTAAGTTTAAACTCTTAGAAGTTCGGGGCATATAAACGTTGAAAATATGCCGCACAGCCCTATATTTTGACCTTTGAAAAAAATAGTAGTGCATATGAACTTTCCATTCTAGGATATAATTTTTTTCAAAACTTCATAGTAAAAGTGGTACAGTTTTAGCCGTAAAAGGATTTCCTATGGGAAATTGCATTGCCGATATTTACAGAAATGCAACCTTAAACCTAACGTTAAAAATAAAACCTTCTAATATATAGATTTTAAAGAATATTCTGAGTTAAAAAAAAGTGTTTCAGAAATAATAGACTAAACATAATAATAAATAGATTTTAATCTAAACATATCAATAGATAGACTTTACTTTAACCATAACAGTAAATTAATATACTATATTTTAAACATAACAATACATAGACTATACTTTAAACATAACAATAAATAGATTACCATGGTAACAGAGATAATTAACCATAAGATGCAATGTTTACTCAACCAAAAAATTATTAAAGAGTTACTTCCGCGACTTGGAAATTTAAATTTAAAGTTTTGCAATTAAATGATATATTGGTAATCTTGTTTTACTCAGTATAATGGTTCCACAAAAAGCGGTATATTGTTATTTCAAAATATGAAAATGTTTTATACAAGTGACAGCAAGTATTCACGAATAAATTCTGAATTTAGGATACAAAATATAAACTCAAAGGAAAGACCATATATATGCGTTCATTTAAAGTGGTAATGCTTAGATTCTTCCGATTTCTATTACGACTGAAATCAATATTTCTTGCAAGTGGTTGATCTAATTTTATTCATGGCAATTTTTCAAACAAAAATTGTTCAATTGGAATTCGGGAGTTGTTGAACAGGCATTAGTATTCTTTCTGTATAAATCTAAATCAAAATCTTACCTTTTAGGTTAGCGCAATTAGTGTTAAAATCAGTAACTACTGACTGTACAGAACCGCAGTTGTAGACAACAATTACAGCTACATACTAAAGGTACGTTGAAGACATGGCTGTATTACCAGAACGCAAAGTAAACCTACAATATTTCACTTTTTATACAGTTCTACGACAAGGAAACTTCCTTTTTATTTCAATGACAATTCTGCTCAGTCTGTTTTTTACTGTTTTTGCTGATAAAAGAGGGGAGAAAGATACCAGAGGGACATTCAAACTCATAAATCGAAAATAAACTGACAACGCTATGGCTAAAAAAGAAAAAGACAAACAGAAAAACAATAGTACACAAAACACAACATAGAAAACTAAAGACTAAGCAACACGAACGCCACCAAAATCTGGGGGTGATCTCAGGTACTCCGGAAGGGTAAGCAGATCCTGCTCCACATGTGGCACCCGTCGTGTTGCTCATGTTAGTACAAACCCGTTAACAAGTCTAATTCGGTAGGTCACATTCGTGAAAAGGGGACGGGATTGTAGTTACGACACTAGGAACAAATCCGCTATCATCTTTGAAACGGATATTCCATAACGGTCAACCATGATAACATGCATCAATGAGACTTATGGTATAAAATAATAACAAAATACTTAAAATATACGGAAGTGAAAATATAATTTTATGAGATGTCGAACTGTACCTCTATTGTTTTTTAAAAGAGGTTGTTTAAACAAGGAAAAAACTTTAAAATAATTGTACAATAAATTGCAAAGGTGTGAATAATAATTTGAAAATATGCAAATTTTGTCTGTTCTTTTTTAGAAAAATCTCCGAAAATATTGATGATATTTCGAAGATATGACAATTTAGACTTTGCTCATACTTAACGAATACTTCAAAGCTAAAATCGATCAGTTTTGTAATACGTTATTTTTGAAGGCCGAAAAGGGCTATTTCCGCACTTACTCTTTTGTATTTGCAGCTTCCCGGCTAAACCAGCGGCATTTAGGAGTAAGAGTAAAGACAGCTTTGCCCGAAGTCAGAATAATGTGTCCGGGTATAGACAATTATATGGGGTCCCTCAAATGATGTCAATAAAATATAAAATCAATTTCTGTTTTTCGTGTAATTTCTGGAATTATGTTCAAACAAATTTTCGTAAATCTTTTCTTATTTGATATCGTGGTCATTGTTGTCAATATAGTGGAATTGTATGCGACTGTCATACAAGTGAGAGGTTTAGCTAGCTATAGAACCATGGCTTAATCATTTTTTTTTACGAAACTTCATAGTAAAAGTGCCATAGTTTTAGTCGTAGAAGGAGTTTCCATGGGAAATTGCATTGTCCATAATTACAGAAGTGCAACCTTAAAAGAAGTTTGGATATTTCCCTTCAATTGATTCGCACTTATTGTAAATATCTAATCATATCGGTGAATATCGTCTTCCATAGATTAATGATTATAATGTTTTCAGATAACAAACGGTGGGTATCTTTTGGAATCAGGAAGGGTCGGTTGCAGAATATGAATAATGTCTCATACTTGGTACAAAAAGTAGTAAAATGTCACAAACTCAAGGAAAGATACTTGGACAAACATGTAAAACTTGAGAAAACCGAAAGAAGCTTTTCCCTTTTGATACCTTAGATAACCACTGACACATTGAAATGAAAATAACACTAACGTTTGCTTTGGCGTCTTATTAAATTATCTTATTTTGTACTATTCAAATAACCTAAAAGTAGGTTCAGTATGTTTATGCTTCAGACATTATAATGTACCGATTGTCAGATTTTCTATATATTGGTTTTGTAAAATATCAGCTGCGAAATGCAATAGGAAGATATTTGCTTGGTGAGCACAAGGCTTAACAAGATGTACTATTAGCCATTGCGTCAATTATTATACTAAAGTCCATGCCGTTGACCGAATGTTGCAGCTAAGGACAGAAAAACAGACGAACAGAAAAGAGGTAAAACAGTACCGCCCTCATTTGAAGCAGGATATGAAATAACCATGTTGTGTCGTTAAGCTGAAATTTTGCAGTATCTTTATCAGGAAAATCCGATTATCCATTGATTGGATTGTATATGTGCGATCTTTATTTTGGAATAGTTGTTTTAGTTTTTCTTTGTTTAACAAGTTAAGCATAGTGCGCTCAGTCAAACTCTATTTACTAATAAATTAATAAAATCAATTTACTACACACTATTACATCTTATGCTAATGTAGTTCATGAAGGGATTAAAGAGACATTTTAATGTAATATAAAGAGTGCTACTTCTCAGCATGAAAAAAAGCAGTACATATATCAAAATTACTAACTATATGACGTAACAGCCAAACTTGCTGTGTATGTACTTAGTCCACTTCCATCACTGTTTGGAGCAAAACATCTATATGTTCCAGCATCATTCGAATCTGTATTGAATATGGTGAGTGATGGAGTAGATGAAGTACTGCCGCTGTATTTGTTGGTGTTGGTATTGGATGTAATTGTAGTGATAGCACTACCGAATATTATCTGCCAGGTAACACTTGTTACAGTTGTAGTGGACGATACAGAACTTCCTGAATTGACTGAGTTGGATATCTGTGTAATGGGCACTGTCGGAAAAGCTGTAAGAGAACAAAAGAAAATAGAATTTCATAGGCATTATTTACTCTGTTTGTAATAAAGATTTTAAGGAGTTTGGAAATTTGAAATTAATTTTTTCACGGTTATTGTTAAGCCCTTGGAGATTTTACTATATGATATTTGCTTGTATTCATCAGTGATTTGAAAGAGGATGTGATTAATAAAAAGAAAATAAATTATTACAAAGCTAGTTGTGATTATTATTTATTTCACCATAACTTCCAATGTGGCAGGAATTTTTTAAAACTAAAATCTAATGTTACACATACTATTTGTAATGATATTCAAAGTTGTTGCTGTAGAACTTTGTGCAGTTCCCACATTGTCTGTAGCCAAACATCTATATTGTCTTACATCATTTGAATCTGCATTGAATATGGTGAGTGAAGGAACAGATGAAGTACTGCCGCTGTATATGTTGGTGTTGGTATTCGATGTTATTGTATTGATAATACTCCGGACTGTTTTCTGCCAGGTAACTCTTGTAACGGTTGTAGTGGGTGGCACAGAACATGTTATCGTAATTGAGTCTCCATTGTTTTCATAGTAAGATGACTGTTGAATTGTCACAGTTGGGGTGCTATAATAACAACATTAAACCGACTTGTAATGATCACGAAACAGAAAAATTGGTACCGTTAATGTTAATAATAAATTAACTAAAACAATAACATACACTAATTTTGAAAGGTTCGGAAAAGTACCAAATATTTTTATTGCATTATTTTCACATTAAAAAAATGATTTTGGGAAAAAGTCAGAATGATAGTCAGGTAATAGGAAATTATTTTTGAGGGTTTTCTTATTAAAAAGTAATAAGTCTGAAATGCTATCTAGTTCTTTGTACAATAGGAAGGAAGCTGTCAATGAAATTGCTACTAAAGTTATAAAAAGAAACATGAAAAATACATCAATGAGACAGCAACTAAATAACATCAAAAACAATCAAGGCATCTAGAAGTCCAAACGTTCATACAAAATATATAGCTCTAAATTGAATCTATAAAAGCTGTGAATAAATTTGATAAAATTGAGAATGGAAATGGGAAATATGCCAAAGAGACAACAACCCGACCGAAGAGTAGAAAACAGCCGAAGGTCACCAATGGGTCTTCAACACAGCGAGAAAATCCCGCACCCGGACGGAGGCGGACTTCAGCTGGTCCCTAAAAACGTGTACTAGTTCAGTAAAAATGGACGTCATACTAAACTAAAAAAAAAAAAATGAACTCCGTGTTGAAGGCCGTACTTTGACCTATAATGGTTTACTTTTACAAATTGTGACTTGGATGGAGAGTTGTCTCATTGGCACTCATACCACATCTTCTTATATCTATAAAATAAAATAAAAACATACTAGCCTAGCAAAAGCCAGAGGCTCCTGACTTGGGACAGGCGCATAATGCGGCGGGGTTAAACATATTTTGTGAGATCTCAACCCTCCCCCTATACCTCTAGCCAATGTAGAATAAACAAACACACAGCAATACGCACAGTAAAACTGTTTGGGACTGATAAAGAAAACCATTGACATTACTGCAAAGGTTAAATTACTGTGTAATCCTCCAACAATGGTACTTACTTCCAGTAACAGACGGCTGATTAGTTGTACTCTGCCCTGTTCCTACACCGTTGATGGCAAAACATGCGTAAGTTCCTTCATCACTTTGTGCTGCATTGCATATGGTAAGGTAGGTGTGCCGGTAGAACTGCCACTGTTGGTGATAGTTGTTGAAGTGAAAAAGAGGCAAAAAATACC